GGGAAAACCCCCTATGAGCCCGTCACACCAAACTCCAGGTACAGCTCAATTCAAAATGGCACTTAACCAACAAACAAACAAGAGCTGACACAAGACTAAACAAAAGCGCTCTCAAACAAAACCAGTTTACCAAAAAATATCAGATAACACAAAATGATATTTACCTCAAACAAAAGCGGGTTTTTAGGACGGAGCCCCCAACTTGTTACGGCCGGCTCAGGGCCACAACAAATAGGGAGACGAGACGGGGGTAAAAAGTGCAACAAGTATATTTAATAATAACAAAAGGCGAGTATGACATTAACAAAAACAAGGTATGAGGTGTGAGCATGTTGTAATCAGTAGTGTAGTGCAGGTGTGTGAGTGCAATGAAAGCCGGTGTGTGGTGTGCAGTGAATGTGGTGCATAAACCAAAAGACAAACTCAAATGTGCAACAAAGGAAGAGCACCAGGGGAGGACCAAACAAGACAGCAGGGCCGGAGAGAGTGAGCAGCTCTCAGCTCCCAGCTGAAGAAGGTCCATTGATGAGGAGGCGTGGCATGGTGCAGGGGTGTACCTGCACAGAGGAGGAGGCGGCAGAGAAGGCAGGCCAACACAGACAGCACCCTCTCCTGGACACTAAGGGCCTGGCCCGTAACAATTGCGTATTAACTTCACTTGAATTACTCGAGTACATCCTTGATATTACCAAGTAACTCAAGTGATTGCAATAAAGTTTAAATTTCTTCCTATACTCCGACCGGGATTCGTACTCAGAACCCTGTAGTTGAGAGGCAATGGTGCTACCCACTCAGCCACCAAGACACCCTGCCATTGTCACACCTGCCTCATTAAAGACTCTATACGTCAAAATGTCAAAAGTGAGGCCTACTTGAACAGAAACAGTTCAATTCAAAGAAGACCCTGAGTGATATAGCCAAGCTTTAAATAAACTAACAATAAATGAGTAATATTTACTTACTGGGAAAATTCTATTTAAAATAACTTTGATATCTGAAGTACGATTGAAGTTAGGGTTTACAGTGAACAATGAATTGGTTTCTTCCTGGTTTAAAGAACCATAATTTAACTTTGACAGAGTTCTGTGTTCCTGTTTACCATGTGTTTGACTCCTCTGGACGAGCATATTTGGGAAATTCAGGGTTGTGATGAGTGTAAACATTTTGAATGTTGGATGTCCATTTTGCCACTTTCTCAGATCCTGTCTTAGATATTGATGCAACCCAGCATGTATTTTTTTTTGATGGTCTGGTCTGGTCTGAGGAGATGGTTCATCTCTGGTCTGTTGATGAGGAGGTGGTTCCTCTCTGGTCTGTTGAGGAGATCATCTCTTTGGTGTTGTTTTGTACTTGGTTTTGTATGTTCACACACACAAAACCAGGTAGTGAGGTGCCACAACGATGTGGGCTTCTTGAAAAAGCCACCACATGGCCATCATGCGGTGTATGCACCGATGGGTCTTATGGCTTATGCAGGGGCAGAATTTTTATGTAGTGAAAGAATAAACAAACATATAATTAGTGTAGGCCTACACCTGAAACAATATGTTTCTGTGTACGTACCAGTTTTGTCAATTTAAGTTATATCTATTGACATAAATGGATTGATTATTACTTACATATATAAAAGGAGAGACATATGACATATGTCAACTGATATAATTTCTTACCATGTACATTTTGCAGATGTACCTTAAAAACATCTTCTCGGACAACAGGCTTAAAGTTACAGAAAGGGCAATGATAATGGACTCTTGTGGTTGTCTTTTGGCCCAATTTGCAATGACATGCAACTGTGAAACATTCTACAACACAGCAAAACAAATTATATTGGCTAACAAAAACAACAAAAATTAAGACGTTCATATGAATTATTACAGTGACACAAATGTAATATTAAAAAAATAAAAAATATTTCAGCTATGACAAAGAACTCAGGTCTACCTTTCTGTTGATGAAAGAAGTAAACAGCTTTCTGAAGATGTTTCCTTCTAAAATGCCGTTCATTGCCTTGTTCTTTCTTTGAGCAAAATTCATAAACATTTTTAGTGCAAGCCAAGAATGCATTCACATCTGTGAAAATTTGACGAGGACCTGAAACAGTGTAAAAGTTAAACAGTAATTACTACAAAAATGTTGCATTCCAAATAAACGAACAGGCTACATCTTTAACACTACCTCTTATGTGGGGTTTGATTTAAGTTATTGGTTCAAATAATTAGGCCCCAGAGATCATGTAAATACTTTTGCGTTTTCATCACACTTTGATACAACTGTGGTTAAAATTAAACTCATCATTCTAACAATGCACAAGGCAGTACTTTTCCACTATATGTTTTGTTTATCAAGCCATTAGCATCGGCAAATGCTGAATCTCTGCTCGTGTCTGTACCTTGTCACTACACATGTCTGAAAGACACGATCCCAGTCTATTGTTATTTTCTTCAATCCCTTCCCCCATCCAGGTGAAGGCTTCAAATAGCCCACTCACGGGCCTGATATGCTGTGGTTTGAGCTTGAATATTACGTTTTAGCAAGAACATTGCAAAAGTGGTTGAATAGGCCTACTGTACTTAATTAAATCTGAAACACAAATGAAAAAGACATGCGGTTGACAACTGAAAACATAGGATTTCACCGTGTAGCGTACTGCACAAAAAAAGTCCACCATATAGCGCAATTTCACCTGGCATACATATACTGTCTTTACAAAACTTAATTAGCCTATAAAAGGCATTCTCACCTGCCATGTTTTCAAACCAGGATCAATAATCGACAAGTGCGCAAGCAACTTCTTCATACAGGTAGTTGACTGCTGGACACAGGTCTCCTTCCAAATAACGGCGTCACGAGTCAGGAGCTTACGCAACACCGCGGACTAATTTCCGAGCGAAAGTTAATGCATCTTCGCGGAGTTATACATTGCCTATAGATCTGTTGTAAGGTACCTATACACCATTATTTGTGTAAAGAAATAATTATAAGCAGAACAGAGGGACATAGGCTATTCATGGCCATTCATGGCAGATAACACACACTTTAAGAACATGTAAATAGGCGAAACGTTGATGTGAGATCCCTGTGTGTGCAAATGTGCCAAAGCGCGGCTCACACAGCGTGGATGTGTGTGCGCGCTGTCACCATGTGACCTTTTCTTGATTGGCCTTTGTATTTCACTATTTGGTGGACCAATTGTGTCTTTGCATAATAAAAAAGGATGTAGGCTATCTTTTGCTCTATTATTAATTATAATTATCACAATAAGTCACAAAAAATGAATGCCACATACACACACATGCAGATTAAATGTATATTATGCTAATTGAAGCACACAATAAACATCTGTAGGTTCTATTTAATTTGGAGGCATTTGTGTAAGTGAGGAAAAAACAAGCATCAATTGGTGAAAAGTTTTAAACTTCAAGTTATTATTACGCTGAAGTGTAAAACGTTTAACCATTCATTATCTAATTTACTAATCAGTATATTTCTGAATAATCTATGTAAATCCTGAAAAGACGAAAAGACGCGAACGGCATTTTGGCCATTCTTTTAACCAGTCGAAAATGGCAAAAGATTTGGCCACTTCGAGGCGCCCCCTTGTGGTGGCCAAAACATTGGTTAGCCATTTACCACTCAGGGATCTCGGCGTCTCTGCTTTCTGTTGTTTGCATCACTTACTCGAACGGCATTCACTTCCTCCGCTCTGAGCCCAGCAGCTGTGGTCGCTTTGTACCATAGTCGCCGCGGACTGGACCATAGACGCTGCGGACTGGACCATAGACGCGAGGACTGGACCATAGACGCGAGGACTGGACCATAGACGCGAGGACTGGACCATAGACGCCGCGGACTGGACCATAGACGCCGCGGACTGGACCATAGATGCGGCGGACTGGACCATAGACGCCGCGGACTGGACTATAGACGCGAGGACTGGACCATAGACGCCGCGGACTGGACTATAGACGCGAGGACTGGACCATAGACGCCGCGGACTGGACCATAGATGCCGCGGACTGGACCATAGACGCGAGGACTGGACCATAGACGCCGTGGACTGGACTATAGACGCGAGGACTGGACCATAGACGCCGCGGACTGGACCATAGACGCCGCGGACTGGACCATAGACGCCGCGGACTGGACCATAGACGCCGCGGACTGGACCATAGACGCCGCGGACTGGACCATAGACGCCGCGGACTGGACTATAGACGCGAGGACTGGACCATAGACGCCGCGAACTGGACCATAGAAGAGAAATAAGGAAGCACAAAACGTCAAAATTTGATGGATGACCTTTTGACCTTTAGCCACGCCCCCTCTATTGTCTAAAATGGCACCCCTCTATTGTCTAAAAAGCGTGGGAACCAAGGGGAGGGGCGAAATGTGGGCGGTCGAAAAAGGGGTGGGAAAATGGGTGGAACTGGGCGGAGTTAATGAGATATAAGGATGTGGAGCGTTAGGGAAATCAGTCTTAAGTCAAAATGGAGTCCATGCTGCTGAAGAAGAAGATATTCCATCTCCAGGGAGGCCGTACTTTGGTCGCTGAATTTAAACGAGCTGGAGGAGTTTTCTACGTCGATCTATACAGCCATGAGCATATACAGCTGCATGCTATGCGACTGCGAATCTATTCAACGGAATTTGAAAAACTGAAGATGGCGCTAAAGCAATGCATGCAGCATATGGATCGTGTCAACGAGGATGGAATCGTACGCCTTACTAAATGGATGTCGAGCATACCGGTGTGCGCTGATTCACTATTACGTGGAACGGATGGAACATTTCTCGTCGACTGCTCAAGGTCCTACAAGTGGCTGTTGGTGAGATATCGTCATCATGCTCTCAAAGTAGAACAACCGGATACGATCGTGGCGAAAGAGCGATATTTCCCGATCCATGTGGCATTCAAGCTGACGGACTTCCCTAACGTGGAGAATCTCCTGGGGCAAATCGAGCTATTTTTTAATGAAGAAAAGCGGAAACAGATTCTGATGGAAAAGCGGTTAACAACACGCGACAAACCTCAGCTGGTGAAAGGATGCAGACGTCGTCTAAATCTGATGCGGGTTGAACCACATGTTGATGGAGAGACCGGAAACGACAAAGTGAGAGATTTTTCATGTTGCTAAACTTCATGTCCTTCTTTACGGACATGTCTGGACATGCCTTCCTAGATCCCGCCTTCTCTCCTAGCCCCCTCCATCCTAGATCCCGCCTTCTCTCCTAGACCCCTCCTTCCTAGATCCCGCCTTCTAGACACGCCTACTACTCGCATGGTATATAGTTACGACGGTAGAGAGACTATTTTAGACATGGACTTTTCAACCGACAACGCAGTAGACGGTTTGGAGCGTCTCCATCAGGTCTCCGGTTCTGGCGGAGGGGCTGAAGATTCCTCCAAGAGATACACCCCGCTCGCCTCTGATCAGGGTGCTGCTGAACTCAATGCCGGCTCTCCGGGGATCGTGTCTGACATTTCTGAATCAACTTTTAGCGATGGCTCGGCTCTTTCTCCGCAAAAAAGTCAAGGATATGAGGCAGACCATGCTCCGGCGTACTATTCCTACTGGACTCCCCCAGTCTACAACCCGACAGTCATCGACAGTTTCTTAACACCATCCAGCTCACCGCAACCACGCCTGACCGGTACAGTTGATTTTCTAGAGATTGTAAAGGCCTGCGTCGCCTCTGCCGTAAGAGTGGTGGTGTTACAGCAAATAAACGAAGACTGTTTCGGGTGTCAAATCTCCCATCCGAGTCAGCGACAGCACGCTTGCCTCTACCCTCCAGACCCGTGGTTTTTTTCAGCTAACTTTGAACGATTAATGGGCAAGGTTTTGACGTGGGAGTTTGTCCCGGCTCTCAAAAATACCTTGGCGAAAACTGGTCTGGACATATTGGAGGCAAGAGTGGAAGGAGCGGCCGATGCTTTTCTTTACGATCTGAAGAATGAAGAAAACATTTTGGAGAAAGTAAATGAGATCACATGTACCTACTCCACAGAGAAGTCCGAGGATCTACTGGACCACTTCCTAAGTTTCTGGAATCCTTGAAAAAATGGGGAACTTTTTCACACCCTCTCCTCCAGCAGTTGACACACTTTTAAAACACAGCATCGCCAAACGTCTTAATGATGCTTCACTTTTCCGGACTGATACCACTGTGAGACCCGAGGAATTGTTACGTTTTGAGAGTGTGATGGACATTGTGAGAAACAAGAACTCGTCCTGGAAAACGCTAGTGACTAAGGCTGCAAGCTCAAATGATTTTGAAGAAACATTACGCTGTATTTTTAATCTTATAACTATTGATAGTCATACTCTAGCACATGTCATGTATACCTTTATAGCGGATGTAGTAACTTTTAAATTGAAGCACGGTCATGCAATTGATGTTGATTCTGTACTAAATGTGATGAATGACTCAATTAAATGTTTTTAATAAAAAAATTGGACACTAAAACATATGACTCATGTCTTATCTACACACTCGACATCATGCCATTGAGAAAGACAGATAGGGTGCTGAAAAGCATATATTATAATCCAGCAAAAGCAGGGTCATATGGAGGTGTAGAACAACTCCAAAAAGCTGCAGAAGAACAAGCGGGTCTGAAAGTTACAGGGGGCAAAGTCCGAGAATGGCTGTCGGGCCAAGACGCCTATACTCTGCACAAAAGTGCTAGGAAAACCTATGCTAGAAATCGTGTATTTGTACCTCGGTCACTATATCAATTCCAGGCCGATCTCTGCGATATGAGCGCTTTAGCTAAAGACAATGATCAGTTCAAGTTTATGCTTACAGTAATTGATGTATTTTCAAAGAAAGCATATGCCAAGGCTCTCAAAAACAAGTCAGCGGGGGAAGTTGCGATGGCTTTTGCTTCCATTTTAGAAGAGAGCGGAATTCCTTTAAAAGTCCAAACTGATGCAGGAAAAGAATTCTTTAACAAGGTTTTTGAAAAACTGATGAAGAAACACAATATACGTCACTTTGCAACAGGAAGTGATTTGAAGGCCTCAGTGGTGGAACGGTTTAATCGCACCTTGAAGACAAAAATGTGGAGATTTTTCACAGCAAAAAACACTCGCAGATACGTCGATGTTCTTCAAGATCTACTGACTAGCTATAACAATAGTTATCACAGCAGTATAAAAATGAAACCCGTGGAGGTAACAGACAGCAGGACAACGGATGTGTTTGAAAACTTATACTCGTCAATGCCTCTAGCCCCTAGAGTCAACTTATTTAAATTCAAAGAGGGCGATGTGGTTCGGATTTCAAAATACCGTGGTGTATTTGACAAAATGTATGAACAATCATTCACGGATGAATATTTTATAGTTAATGAAAGGATCACTCGAGTTCCCCCCGTTTATAAATTACGAGATGTAAGAGGCGAAATTCTGAACGGGACATTCTATGAAGCTGAACTCCAGAAAGTGAAAATCATGCCTGATAGTGTTTTCCGTATAGAAGAAATACTAGACAAGAAAACAAAAAAGGGTCAGAAGATGGTTTTAGTACACTGGCGAGGATGGCCAAGTCAGTTTGACTCCTGGATATCTGCTAAAGCGGTCATAGACCTGGAGAAGAAACAGAAAGCAAAATGACCAATCAAGACTCCTTCTATGTGACGCTACCATCAAACGCCTGTCACAACATATTCCCCGACAATGACAGTTCAAATTATACAATCACACTGTCTAAGCCAATAGAACTACAAGGAGCTTATGAAGTAGCCCTGGCTGAGATCATGTACTGTCACACATGGAATAATATCGCCGGGGCCGAAGGTGGATTTGAACTATTGGATCATTCATCCACAACCGACCCACCCAACTATGTAAAAATTCCTACTGGACACTATGAGAAAGTTGAATTGATAGTGAAGGAAATCAACGCCCTATTAAAATCTGTAAACGTTGATCTCATCTTCTATTACAGCTCTATCAACAAAAGAGCTTCAATATTTGGGACAGGACGATTCTCTATCAAGTTGTTCCACTTCTGAGAATCATTAAAAAAGAAGGATCCTACGGAGATCTCGTCACTCTGTCCTACAATCGCTTGCATTACGTCCCTGTGAATAAACAGCGCATACAAGATATACAAATAGAATTAAAAACGGATTTAAACACGCCCATTCGCTTCACCTACGGGAAGACTATTTGTAAACTACATTTTAGACCAACTTCAAAAACTTTTGTCTGAAACAACTAACGCTGGAAAAATGAACTCGCAAAGATTTGTGAATTATTATGTGAATCAAGCTGGAGGCGGGTCAATAAATGGATTTGCGGGGGCACCCGTAATGTATGGGCGAGGGTTGGGGTCCATGCTGAGTAGAGCGTTCCGTTTCGTTTTACCCTTTCTTAAACAAGGTGCAAATTTTGCAAAACCTCATTTGAAAACGGCGGCGAAGGGGTTTGCGTCAGATGTTGTTGGAGCCGTATAGCAGACGGAAAAAAAGAAAGGAGCTTTCTGATAGAATTGGACGTAACCAAATTCTGGGCTCACATGCGCCCCGTACCCTGAGGCTGGCCTCATTACAAGTCGTGGTTTAGCGCGATTAAGACCCATATTTGTTGTCAAAAACACAATTTATGAGCCATCCTCTCAGCTGTAGACATGTTGATTGTAAATGAAAAATGTTTGAACAACAATAAACGTGCGCTATAATAGGAGCGCACTGGATTTTTTTTTAAACTTTCATTTCCCGTTTCCCGTCATAACATTTCCCGGGAATCGGGAAATAGTTTTGATCAGATTTCCCGGGAATCCTGTGTCCCGGGATTAAACCCTAGTGTGTGCTACTGTTATTACTAGCCTTAATCACTGCACATTATAACAGACATATTTACAGTCAATGTGTGTGTGTGTATGTGTGTATGTGTATGTGTATGTGTATGTGTATGTGTATGTGTATGTGTATGTGTATGTGTGTGTGTGTATGTGTATGTGTGTGTGTGTGTATGTGTATGTGTATGTGTATGTGTATGTGTATGTGTGTGTGTGTGTGTGTGTGTATGTGTGTGTGTGTGTGTGTGTTGTTCCCTATGAATTACATCATAATTTTTTGTCTGCTTATCCTCCAAACAAATAGATAATAATATGATCTGATTGTAGTAGATTGTGTTCGATGGCCACTTTGTGTTAGTTATAGAGGGCCACACCTATTGATAGCCGCATTTGGCCCACGGGCCTCAGGTTGGACAGAAAAAAACTTTATGTTTATCGTTGCTACCATAGATTGGGTCTAGGACTAGATCGCAAATTCGAGATAGCTGTGCAGTCGCTCTGACACGCCGACGAAGAGGACACTCTATGAAAGTTACATTCCTAAGCTTTAACAGCTGCCATTTTCTCAGACGCTTCAGTAGATTAGCTCTGACCTCACCATAGTGTTTGCTTTTGTGTGTGTTTGTTTTGTAATTGTATTGTTCCCTATGAATTATGTCATTATTTTTGGCGGTCTTATCCTCCAAACAAATAGATAAAAATATGATCTGATGAAGGTATGAAAAATTATCCGTTTGTTGTAGATTAAGTTCACGTGACATCAGCAAGTCCCAAAGAGCCTATAGTTTCACATTGTGGAGCAGGGCAGCTGTGGTATCTTTTCTGGTACATCTGGCAAGCGTCAAAAAAGCGTCAATGTGTATGATGTGGGCCAGTAAAAGGACTTTCAGACACAAGAATAATATCACAGCTTATGGATCTAATCACTGTCAAATAATGACCAGGAAAAACAACCACTTACATTAGTTTTGATGAAGATAGATATTTTATTTTATTCTAGTTTGGATATTTTACGCTACTTTGGAGCAACTGTGGTTAAAGTTCGAACTCATCATTCTAACAATACGCACAAGGCAATACTTTTCCACTACTTGGCTATGAACTGAAATATTTCTCTCTCTTTTTGGTGTTTTATTGGTTTCAATTGATGTGTCGGCTTTTAAGTGTTACCTCAATCTTGTAGTTTTTATTTTAGATTGTATTTCTATAAGTTGTAAATGTATGTTGAATGCGTTGCCTCTTGTCCAGGACACTCTTGAAAAAGTCATAAAAATCTCAAGGCCAAGCCACTGGTAAAAAACCCGATCTCCAGACGTTTCTAATTTTTGTCACTAGTACAGAGTTATTGTTCGTTTCTCTTGTGCTGTGTGCGCCTCATTCCTACTGTTGTGTAACTGCTGATGCAACACTGACATTTCTCCGCTGTGGGACCAGTAAAGCATCTCTTCATCTTTCATCTAACTCTTTTTTTCCCATGGAGCCGTTCTCTGACATGACGGTTTTATGCCCCACACATTTCCTTATACGACAGCAGTGAAAGCAAACATTACAGCCACATCCAGGATTTTATTATAGATGTTCAAACACGGAGAGAGGAGCGAGGCCAAAGAAAAGCTCCCACTTCCTGAACGTAGGCAGATATACAGCAGGCTCTAATCTGAAGCGTTTAACGGGGAAAGAATGTCCCCAAATGATCCGTGAGAAAGTTACATTCATCTAAAGTGTGTTTTAATGTGGGAACCAAACAAACCCACGGCCTTTTCTCACTCACCGAGACACACGGCTCTAAAAGGACATGTTTTAGCTCCGGACACAATCAGGAAGTTTTGACCTCCAGCCTCCAAACACTGACTGATTTAGTCGACCTATACGCATTGGTATTAAGAGAGCAGACAGAGAGCAGAGTGAGACCAGAGAAACCAGAGAGAGAGCAGAGAGAGAGCAGAGTGAGACCAGAGAGACCAGAGAGAGAGCAGAGTGAGAGCAGAGAGAGAGCAGAGAGAGACCAGAGAGAGAGCAGAGTGAGACCAGAGAGACCAGAGAGAGAGCAGAGAGAGATAAGAGAGAGAGCAGAGCGAGACCAGACAGAGAGCAGAGAGAGAGCAGAGTGAGACCAGAGAGACCAAAGAGAGAGATCCGAGAGACAAGAGATAGACCAGAGAGTGACCGGAGACCAGAGAGAGACCAAAGAGAGAGACCAGAAAGAGTGACCACAGAGACTGAAGCTGCCATTTTCATGCAGAAGAAGCTGCTTAGAGCTAACTCGAACAGGCTCATTGAGCGAGAACGTGGAGCCAAATGTAGGTAACCAACATTCAGCCAATCAGGAGCAACCCCAGGTCCAGTCCCCACTCTCATCACTCAATGCTGAAACCAAATCTGGCGTCAGAAGAATCCTGATTGGTCAGTCTTTATGGCTCATACTGTATCTAGATTCAGACACTATCAAAATATAAACACCAGGCTGAGAAAGAGCGCTTTAAACACATATTTATCCAAGCCCAAAACGGTGACTGAGCAAGAGGAGCTCACTTCCCACTCAAAAGGAGCCAGAGTGAGTTGGGGGAAAACTTCCCCATGAGCACTTCTTTTAATGGGTGTCTTTGAGCAGGTTAGCCTTGTTCATCTATAGAGAGGCTTTGGTTAAGACTAAAGAATATGTTGTTAATCGAAATAGTGGTTTTGATCATGAAAGGCCTGTGAGTGTTGGATTTGAAATAGATTTGAAGCGGTTGTTTAGACGTTTAACCAACAGCACTCGGTATTAACAGCAAACTCTTCTGCTGTCGTCGTGCTGAGTTCAAAGAGGCTCCGTTCCGTCTGACTCATGTTTATTTTTTATTGCAGGAAACATCCACAGAACTCAAACAGTGGCAGAGATAAGAAGCAACGCCAACGCTACCAACTGTGGAATACTGTCAAAAACTAACACAAAAAAACTAAAAGACAGATAGAGAAAAGAAAAGGAGAGCTGTACTTTGCAGTTCACCAGAAGTCATACTGTACATATACATATTCAGACATGTTAGTGCCAAATGAACCAACTCTGAGGAGCACAGGGACTGGCCTCCTGCTGTTGCCCAGGACTTCAGGACTTCAGGACTAAACATAGAAAGGCAGCATTTAAAATTCATGCTGCTAAAATCTGGAACAGTCTTCCTGAAAATGTGAGACAGGCTTCTTCTCTGACAATGTTCAAATCCAGGTTAAAAACAGTCATGTTTTGCTGTGCATACAACTGAGGGATTGTATCTATTATTTATTTTTTGTTTCATTTATCTTGTTTTGCCTTATTTGTTGCCTTATGTATGATCTGTGCTATACAGATAAACTTGCCTTGCCACAGCCAACTCTGATGTAGGGGCAGCATCATGTTGTGGGGCTGCTTTTCTTCAGCAGGGACAGGGAAGTGTCAGAGTTTGATGGAAGGTGGATGAATATTTTTTTTTTTGTAAATTTCTCCTGTGTGAGATTAATAAAGTACATCTTATCTGTTTCCATCAGAACAATGAGCCTCAACCAAAAGCCAGAGCTAAAATGGTTTTAACAAATGTATCACAGACTACAGTTTTCCAACGCTCACATCTGATCTGAGCAAACCCTGCTGTGTGACTGGGCCAAACTTTCAGTCTCTGGATGTGTAAAGACTTCCACTTCCACTTCTGTCGTACGGACCACCTTTCCTCCGTCAGGCCTCGGCTCGCTCAGGTCACATGAAGGAAATCGCGTGGTGGAAAAATGTGAAATTCTGCGGTGGATTTGTGAAGGAATTAACCGAACCAGGAGGGATGTGATCAACCACAAGCAGAAGATTTTTTACATTTTTAGGTCCAGAAAAAACTCTTGTCAATCTTGTCAAGAAGAAGGTATTGTTTTACCACTCAAAGTATGTTAAAACAGATTAAGATTAAGATTAGTATTAAAAGATTCGTTATTCATCCCACAGTCGGGAAATGTCAGTGTTGCATCACTAATGAGGAGCACACAGCAAAAGATAACTCAACACTAACTTTTGACTAAAATTTAAAAAAATATCTAAAACTTTAGCATAATAAGGAAGCAAGTATAGAATCTCTAACTTTAACGGAATGAAGAAGTAAGACTAAAATCTCTGACTTTTGCGAAATAAAGAGGCAAGTACAGAATCTCTAATTTTAGCATAATAAAGAAGCTAGAATAAAATCTCTATAATCTCTATAGTATAAAGTCTCAATCAAAGGGATCTTGCTGATTCCACTGACGACATATTCACTGTGTGATAGTACAGACTAGTTCCTGGGGCTGGTCTGTGGATCATGGAGCTTAAAGCTGGGGTACGTAACCTTAGCACATGTAGTTCGTCCAACAGAAAGAGTCTTATAAAGGTAAAATGTTGAGCAAATCAGACCACAACCTTCTGTCTTCGTCTTAGTATAAATCTTGTATAACAAAGAGCCCTGTGAGTCACTATTGGACGATTTGGGCTGAGAGCGCAGAAGACACATTTTTGTTGATTGATAATGACCTCCCACAGCTCTGGGGTTGAATGGGGGAACGAGGCAGGGCTGTCCTATCTCTACGCTAATATTTGTTTAGTCCCTACTATAAAACATGTTATCTATTGTGTCAGAAAAAGCCCTGTGTGTCACTTTTTGACTCTTTGGACTGAGAGCTGATTGGTTGAGTGAGAGTGGTGCTCTCTTTTTCACTTTTCTGTCTTTTCTGTCTGTGTGAAAGATAGTGATCGAAGCAAACTGTTTTAGAGCCAGGAACTAGTGACGCGGATTGTACTGTATTAGAGAGTTCCATTGGTGGTGTGGTCTTAAAGTTACATACCCCGGCTTTATATCCATGACAACTCTGCAAAAAGAGCACGAGATCACCCTTCTGCGTTTGTTTATGTGATTAGCAGATAAGCTAATTAGCCACATACTCACCAGTCTCAAACCGGCTTCATCTTAAACCAGGTTCTCCACAGAATACAGTTGAAAAATCTCCAAAAATAAGACATAGAATTAAGTCTGAGAAAAATGTACGAATCAAAAATCTTTGCGATAAATTCCAGCGCTTATATTACTTGAGAAAACTGTTCAAAAAACTCAGAACGACTGGACTTATTGGAAGAATTATCGTCCGCAAATGAATTGTAAAAGTTGTAAAAGGTTATTTCCAATCTCTTCTGAATATATCAACAAAAACAAAGACACAATTTAAGAGAAATGTTGGAGAACTTTGGCACAAATGTGAATTTTATGGAAAAAGGTGACAATCCTTTAAACGTCCTGATTAAATGAATAGTCCCCATGGCTTTGACGCACTATAGACTGAAAATATCCACACAAAACAGTCCAACTTCCAACGCCATTCCTAAGAAACTATGAAAATGTAGTCACAAAAATGAACTTTAAGCCAAAAACTTTTCAAAAATGGTCAAAAATATTCCAACACGTTTTTGAAAATTCCAAATAATTTTCCTCAAACAGATTCTAAAGTCACGTTAGCTCTGATTGCTACATCCTCACATTGAAATCCATCATAAATCCATATATTTTGGTCCAAACGTCTTCAAGCTGTTGCATTGTGGGTGTCCGTTAGCTTGTAGAGCGCTGTGTGGTTTTGGTCGTAAGAAAGTTACAGTTTGTGAAACGTTCCTTAGTTTAGTTTCTCCAGGCACGAGGCTGTCAGACTGAGCAGCGGATCTGAAGGGAGTTTGACACAGTGGGAAAATCCAGCCCTAAAGCCCCTCCCCACCTCCTCTGCTACAGGCGGACCACCCCCCACCCCCCCACCCCTCCTCTACAGGCGGACCACCCCCTCCTCTGCTGCAGACGGTTCACCTCCCTCACCTTGAGATAACTAGGGCTATACACATATGAATTGATTTGAGACAGACCCTCCCCTTTTTCAGTCCAATGCAAACAGCGTATGTGTTGATAAATGATTAAAATACTAGTTTTCAATCAATTTAGTTTATTTTGGTACAGCCCTAAATCATAACAGTATTTATCTCTGTGATCTGTGTTGACATTTGCCAACACAGATCAGAGAATCCAACAGTCCAACACATAATTCGTAAAATCTTGATAAATATCTATAAACACTTCCACTGTCAATGTATAATAATACTGAAATTAAAAAAATAATAATATTGTTTTGAAAAAATACTGGAATTTCATTCAGGAATCTTGTTAGGAATCTTGTTTTTTTTGCAGAGAGCTTAAATAATTGCAGTCTGCGATTTGCTAATTTTGTACAACACAAAATCTGCAATTTTATTTGATTTACTTCACTGAGGATTTGTCACAGTGAAATACATTTAAAAACAGAAGGGGCAGGAGAAGATTCTAATATTAACGTGGATGGAGTTAAACACAACTGCAGGTGTGTGTTGATATTATTTTCTCGCTTTTCTGGGACACGGAGAATAGAGAAAATGTGTGTTAGTAAACTGGCCGGGGAGTGTGTTTTGGGCCCATTGCTATTCTGATAAGGAACAGATGTTTTTAGTGGCCCCTTATATAATTTTAAATACACTATTATTTATTTTTAAATAAATACTGCAGATAAAGTTGTTTATTTATATCATTTTATTGTTACAAATGTGAATGTCAATGAAGAAAGTAAAAACACTACTGTACTGTATTTTGATTTTGCTGGATACCTATATTGTGTATAAAATTGGGAAGTGTTGCAACTTCAGCCTTAACCATTTTAGCCTTTAGATTATATTGCGCTTTTTTGGACATTCAAAGATGCATGTCATAAATCATTCACTCCATCCACAGTAGTGATAAAGTACTACTGTAGCCACAACTGCCCTGGGGCACATTGACAGAAGTGAGGCAACCAGTATGTGCCATCAGCCCCTTTGACCACCACCAACTATTCATGCACACACCAGACTCATTCTAATGCGGGTGAAGTGTCTTGCCTAAGGACTCCCATCACAGTGCTAACCAGGTCCTGCCCTGCTTAGCTTCAGAGGTCTGACAGGGTCTGGCTTTCACCTGCAGGTATGGTCACATGCAGCTCTCTGTTATTCTAATAAAGAATGGTGATAGAATGTGGACAAAGAAAACATAAGTGTGTACGTAAACTATCTGGGGGTACCACAGGGGTGCGTTCTGAGCCCTCTATTATTCAGATGAGGACCAGTGTTAGAACACAGAGAAAAGATCATTTTGAGACCTGACTTTGTCCGGTTCGCCGGCCGCTGGCAGGACACGGCAGGAGGAAGCTTTGCAGCCGCAGATAAAACACAAACATCTCTGACTGGATTGTTTCAGAGGAATGTTCAAACTTCCTTCGCCGACCGTTAACATCGCAACATCAACACAAACCTCAGGACAATCAGACAATCGCACAAGAGGCGTTTCAACAAAAGGCGCTGAAAGATGGAGAATGGGCCGACTGTACAAAGCCCAAACAATGTTACAGTTTATTATGGGATGTGGAATGCCTTATCATCAACATGCTTCCTGTAGTGATGCTTAAAGAGTAAAAACACCGGCAGAACAGTTTTAAAAGTCAGAGATAAGGACTGTTATCATAATGTTTAATGGGGCAGTCGGTCACAAACAGTACCTGACATTTTCACTTTTCATCTTTATTGTCGTCTGGTAAAATAGTGAGAGAATAATTCAATTCAATTTGTTTTTGTACAGCCCCAAAACAGCGGTCATCTCAGAGGAATGCAATTACAGCAAACACACAGGAGTCATAGGTCCATAGGGAGCGGGACGACCACTGTCCATACACGTCCATAAATGTCCCAAATGTCCCAGAGTATCCAGAGCACAGCCTATGTCCATGATAAAGAATCTATGTCAGTATTTTAGCAGGGTCAATACAACTCCACGGGAAAGAAGCATTTGTCAAAGAGACGTTTAAAAAAGAAAATGTCCTGTTCTTCTCCCAGATATTTGATAGTGATCAGATTCAAAAGGCCGCCATATTATTCCAATGTGGGAAAGTCCTGTCCAAGACTAGAATCTGACTTTGGACACTTCCCGTAGTGACCAGGAAAGATGTTTCTGGTTTTACTACGTGCCGCCAGAAAGCTATATCACTATATAAGCTTTTCACATCAGTCGATTATTGATAATTATGGATTTGTTTTTTTAAAAGGTACTTTGTGTAATTTTTACTGTTGATCCAAATGAAAAAAACGTGTTAACCAATAACAAATGTGACCTTTTTTAGAATATTTGATTTGATATTTGTTTTTAATTGTTGTCATAGGCTTAGAATTGGACTAATAAATGTCCGTGAGGCTGAGGACTATGCGCCATCTTGAAATACAGTGGTTGATAAGGGACAAAAAGGAGTTTGAGCGGGATTTTGGGCCAATGTCCTGCAAAGCCACCGTAGGACCGTAAATTACAATATATGATCCTCCATTGTCCAAAAATGTCATCAGTCACAGACCTGGAGTCGTGTTTAGCTCCATTCAGACTAATATCACGTCCCCCGCCCCTTCTGTCTAAATGCTTCTGTTTCAAACCTGGTACGATTCCCGTTCCAACACAGTTCCAGTTCTGGTCTCTGTCAGTTTTGATTTCTGCCAAAACAGGACCAGTGCCCGTTACCATAGCAACATACTACAGCTAACAGTTAGCATAAGTTAGCTTTCCAACTGTTTTTCAGTGAACATCGACAAAAGCTGATAACATATGAACTAGGGTCTGGACTACGGTCTGAACAAGAACTGGAAATGTCCGGGAGTATGGATTAGACAACATAGACCAGGTTTGGACTAGGTCTGGACTAGGTATGAAAAAGGGTCTGGACAAGGTCTGAAATAGGGTTTGGGCCCGGTCTGAACAATGTCTAGAATAGATCAGGACTAGGAAACTAAAGTCTTTGGTCACTAAAACTAGTAATTCAAATGTGGTTTTTTTTTTCTGAATGAAAACATTTTATTTTCTGGTTTAAAGCTGGGGTATGTAACATTCAGACCATAACAATACAACTCTGTAATAAAGTTCATGTCTCTAGTTCTTGGCCAGAGGAGTACAGGGCATTTTGGCTCTGATGAACTAGAACAGGACACTTTCTCCTCTGTTTGCGGAGGGATATTGAAGGTTATTTTAGTGTGTTTGAATAATAATTGAGTTTATTTGAGCATAATGGACTTTACTGCAGTAATAATGGAGTATTTCTGTGCGTAAACACAGCCACATGTTTCAGGAGAGCAGCTGAAGAGGAAGACCAGAGGAATGTCAAGAATGTTCATTGTTCAGAGAAACACAGGAGACGTGGGCAGCAGGCTGGCTCCGGGACAAGTGTGGTCTGGACCAGGTCTGGACTATGGTATGGACCAAGGTCTGGACTGCGGTATGGATTAAGGTCTGGACTATGGCATGGACTATGGTCTGGATAATGGTCTGGACTATGGTCTGGACTATGGTCTGGACTATGGTCTGGACTATGGTCTGGACTATGGTATGGACTAAGGTCTAGACTAAGGTATGGACTAAGGCAGCCATTCCCAAACTCAGTAACACCGAGGCCCCCTTAAAAATCTGACGGGTCTGCGTGGCCCCCCAAAATAATAACCAAGAAGACAACATTAAGAATAGGCTCTTCTGGTTATTTTATTTTGGGGAAATAGCCTCTGCTACAAACATTGTAATACAAAAATGATTACAGTGGATTATTCAAGTCAAATAATGAACACAAATATTTTAATATTACAAACAAAACATTATAAATTTAGCATTAAATATATATATATTTTTTTTTATGACCTCCCGCGGCCCCCCTGCAGTACCCTCGCGGCCCACCAGGGGGCCGCGGACCCCACTTTGGGAGACACTGGACTAAGGTATGGACTACGGTATGGACTACGGTATGGACTATGGTATGGACTATGGTCTGGACTGCGGCATTGACTAAGGTCTGGACTATGGTATGGACTATGGTATGGACTACGGTATGGACTATGGTATGGACTATGGTATGGACTATGGAATGGACTAAGGTCTGGGGTCTGGACAAGGTCTAAACTACGGCCTGGACCAGGTTTGGATCAGGTCTGGAGCCTGGACTTGGTCTGAACTATGGACTAGGCAACTCAGTTACATGATTTCCAGAATTAAAACATTTAATTTTCTCGTTTAAAGCTAAGGTATTTAACTTTTAGACCTCTCTAATAACTCCTTGTCTCTAGTTCTTGGCTCTAGTTTTCACATCATGTATTTATGGCCTGTTGGTCTGATTTGTTCACAACATTTTATTCTGACAAGACTTATTTTGTCGGATAAACTACATGTGTTATTTATTAAACTAAATGTACGTACCCCAGCTTTATTTACAGTAGATATAGCTACTGTGTTGCATTGTTTACATTGAAATTTCTCTCGTTTACAAAAGTAGAACGAGCCCAAAGGTTAAATGCAGATTTGTTGTAAAACTCTCACAGCAGTGGCAGACACACATATACACCCGCCCCTTCTGTCCACATGCTTCTTTTTAAAACACTGTTATGTATCCAAGTGCAGTTTGGGGACATTTGAGGCTGTTTCAATGCGCGGCCACAGAATGTCTTAAAACAGTCCGGTGTTTTGTTTCCTGCAGCAGAACTCTGACCACAAACGTCACTGAGACACTGGAGCTTCCAGGAAAACACACAAACCAAATGTTTCACTTCAATGAGAGCAAACAAACTGTGAAATTCAACCCACAACCTCCTTTCCCTCCTGGAGAGAGACCAGAGACCAGAGAGAGACCAGAGAGAGAGACCAGAGCGAGACCAGAGCGAGACCAGAGAAAGATCAGAGAGAGAGAGAGACCAGAGTAAGACTAGAGAGAGACCAGAGAGACCGACCAGAAAAAGACCAGAGAGACCAGAGAGAGACTAGCGAGAGACCAGAGACAGACTTACGCTTTTGGTCTCTCCCCCTGGTCTCTCCCCCTGGTCTCTCCCCCTGGTCTCTCCCCCTGGTCTCTCCCCCTGGTCTCTCCCCCTGGTCTCTCCCCCTGGTCTCTCCCCCTGGTCTCTCCCCCTGGTCTCTCCCCCTGGTCTCTCCCCCTGGTCTCTCCTCCTGGTCTCTCCTCCTGGTCTCTCCTCCTGGTCTCTCCTCCTGGTCTCTCCTCCTGGTCTCTCCTCCTGGTCTCTCCTCCTGGTCTCTCCCCCTGGTCTCTCCCCCTGGTCTCTCCTCCTGGTCTCTCCTCCTGGTCTCTCCTCCTGGTCTCTCCTCCTGGTCTCTCCTCCTGGTCTCTCCTCCTGGTCTCTCCTCCTGGTCTCTCCCCCTGGTCTCTCCCCCTGGTCTCTCCCCCTGGTGTCTCCCTCTGGTGTCTCCCCCTGGTGTCTCCCCCTGGTGTCTCCCTCTGGTCTCTCCCTCCTGGTTCCTCTCTTTGGCCCTTCTCTTTGCTCTCTGATCTCCCTCTAGTCTCTTTCTGGTGTGTGCGTGTGCGTGTACGTGTACATGTGCGTGTGCGTACGCGTGCTAGTGCGTGTGGGTGTGTGTGTGTGTGTGTGTGTGTGTGTGTGTGTGTCTGGAGGTTATGGATTCCTCTCTTTAAGCGTACAGTAAACATGGAGCACGTGTGGCCTGTCACACACACGGCTGCAGACATCACAGAGTGTTACATTTGTGGGAAAAGACATGATGCGATTCATTTACATCGTTCCAGATTTACTAATGAAAGTAAACGTGCCGTGCTGCTTTTATAGTTTTACTGTTTACAAAGGTTTTTCTAGTTTGCGTTCATGTGACATCACACGCTACAAAGAGCCCATAATTTCACATCGTGGTGGAGGGCGGTTGGAACACTGGTCACTACGGTCAATGTGAAAAGTCAGATTTTTGTCTTAGTTTAGAGATATTTTCTCTGGAATTCTTGTAACAATCGACATGAAACACATTATTTTTGTCTTCACATCTTCTTTGTAAACACATATCAACTATGGTCTCTTTATTTTCTCGTTAATGTGTATATTAGTGGTGACAAAGCTCAAAAAGATGCCTGATGTTGGCCAGGAGAGAACTTTCCGAGATGAGGATTAAAAATGGCGGCTTTGTGATTCTAATCTCTGTCAAATTGTATATTCTTTTTCAACATTTCTCTCACAAATGCTTCTTTGGCATCGTGCTATATGAAATACTGAAATACTCTTCTACAACACAACCTATTTGACCACGTTGAGACCACAAAAATATACAATTTCCATTCGATCGTGATTAATCTTGCTGCCCTTGTATGAAAGACATTTTTTCTTGATGCTGAAAAAATTATATCTTAGTGTAACAAGTTTAAAACCAGAGCGTTTCGACAGAAGGGGTAGGGGTTGCTGAGGTTAGCGTGATAGGAGCTCAAC